AGCTGAGAGGTTCATGACCTCCTGGCACGAGAAGGAAGAAGAGGCCAGCCGACAACGGGCGCTCAAACGAAACCACAAGCCACCAACCAATGGGGCGGGAGGGGGGCAGGAGACGGACGAGACGGCGAGGGAAGAAAGCAAGCGAGAAGAGACGGACCGAGTGGCGCGATACGTGCGGGATTGAATTTCTTGTAGCCAACTCCCCCCCCCTCAACGCTGCACCACTGCACCAACCCCCCACTAGTGATGACGTACCATTACAATGTATCGCTGGTTGGTGGCCATGTTTGCGCGTTTGCTTGTCGTTAGTGGTCTCTCCACCGTGTGCCTTTTTCTGTCTCTTATTTCTTGTTATTTTCGGCCTGGTCCCTTTTTGTCCTCGCCCTTATTTTTTCATTTTCTCTTTCCTTACTGTTTCCTTTTATTTTTTTCTCTTTTTCTCTTTATCTCTGTATCTCTCTATTTCTGTGCCAGATGGCCTTGTTTCTCCTAGCGTTGTGAAATACCAAGATTGAACCAAGGGGGTGTACCTCATTCTCTCCGGCCCGTGATGGTGAATCCTTGTCTCAGTTGTTACCTCGCATAGCGCGCAGAGGGAGTGGAGGACTCCAGAATATCTGTCTTTGATTTCTATTGACTTGCGGACCCCTCCGGGCCCTTTTATTTGAGTGTACCTTTTTAGGGCAAGTTAGCCTGCGACCACGGGAATCGACCGCGTCGAGTGTTGTATCAGTGCGGACATATGAAGGTACTGGGTATAGAAAGATCGGAATGGTTTTTAATGTGAAGACAACAACGAAAACAACAACAACAATGGTGGACAAGAAGAGTGAAAACTTGGCCTTGACATCACGGCGTGACACCCGTGTGTTCATACCAATGAGTCACTACATGTACCGAAATCTGACAGGTGGGGGTCGAAAGAGGCCTTCGAAGCTTAGCTGAACCCCAGCAGAGTCAAGGCTCTTGCTACCTTGGAGGTCCACAAGCAGGCATTCAACGCCCGGATCGATGAATGGTGTCCCCGGCACAATTGCCAACTCCTCAGCTGGCTCGCTTGCGCGTCCCGAACGGGAAGAATTCTCGAGGCATTACGCAGCGGATCAGCATCCTGTTCTGCGAGAAATATGGCTACTTCACAGTGGTCAATGATGAATTTTTCGACTCGTGTCCCAAGGAAAACGTCGTCGCGCAGGGGAAACTTGGTAACGACGGCATTCGTCTGATCTTGGCGAGGGGTGTTAGGTAAAGTAGTTGCAGCTGTGGTTCCGTTTCTCCGTTTTGTCGAAACAAATAATTCCTGTAGCTGCTGCGCCTCCTATTGTTGGGAACGGATCGTCACTGCCGCCCGTGCTCGTTCCGTCCTGGCGGTCACCCGCAGATCACCATCCGGCCAGGCACGGACTTCCCTGAAAGCATATGTTTCGAAGACTGCGACGACCGGAGCAGCGAAAAATATGGCCTGGGCAGATGCAGTGGATACTGGTACGACGAGGTGATCCGTGAAGAGAAGATGGAGACCTCCTACACACGACGGTAATTTATAGCTTTGGGCAGGGCTAAGGCTAGGAAGACGATCGAGTTGCCGCCATCTGCGGTTTCGCTTACTTTCCGGAGCTGAAGCTCGATGCCTTGGTTCGGCTCAGTGGTAGAGGCCGGGGTATGAAGTTCTGCAGCCGTGCCCTAGAAGTGAGCGAAATTGCGTTTGAACTCGAGAGCACGACAAAAATATCTACTGTAAGGTAGCAACAGCCCATGGCTTTTTCAAGCATTCTATCCGCCGAAGTGGGCACCAAGGTTCACTACGAGGCAGATACTCCAACCTTCTCGCTTGAAACCGAGTACATCTGTTGAGATGCACTGCAAGCGGGTTTTTGTGACCTCCCACCTTGCAGGGCGTTCAGATCAAAGCCCCCTTCATCATCCGAAAACTTGGAATTGATGAAGCGGTACCTGTCTCGCTGGTGAACGTCCGAGCTGACGTGCTCCTAGAAGACTGCAGGTAAACAAGAACTTTGCTTGCTTCCAGAACCACAGGCCAGTCTACTAGTACCACCGTCCAAGGCATACCATCGGCTGCGTAGTGAATGCAGTACAAGGAGTAGACCTCGAGCAATGAAAACATCCGTCCCAACAACACCATTTCCCGTCCTCCTCATCGCTTTCAGCGGAGTGTTTCCTGACGCTCTTCCGACGGGAAAGGAAGGTGTGACTTCATTCTGAATTCACTCTCGGTTGTCGTTCCGCCTCCCCCTCATTTGTTCCCCATTCAAGCTTCGGGCCATCCGGCTCGATCACTACTGCTGTGCTGCTGCACAAGGGTCGGCTACTTGCTAAGTTGAACTGCTTCATCGGCGGGAGAATCAGTGTGGGTGTCTCCCGTCTGCGAGACTCCCCGTGCCCGAGAACCACAACTACGGTGTGCTTGGAGGGCAACACATTCGATGCTGTGACCGACTGGTGAGTGCGCAAGTGACTGTGTTTCCGTCGCTGTTGATACAACATGCATTGATCAACTGTTGTGCTGAAGGACTCGCGTCATCGACAACAACCACCGTGCAGTTTCTTAAGGGCGCCTTACCTCTGAACGCTTCCTTTCATAAGTAGGGCGCTCAAGAAAGGGCCAGCTTGGTGCCCCCCACAGGACAACACAACTGTCCTAAAGGCGAATGAGTTCCCTGGCATCCGCGCCAAAAGAAAATCTCGGAATTCATTCAACCGTAGTAGGTCACATTTGTAGGGCACCGCCGACGTACCGTGAACTGACTGCAGAACGTCATTGCCCACTCGCACGTGTCGATTGGAACGCACGAAGGGCTGAAGACGCCTTGGGGTAGTGCGTATATTTGAGTGCAGGTGCCATGTTTTTTCGTGTGGCGATGCTTGGTCATCACGGTACGGGAATTCATGTGCCTGAGAGAAATGGAGCACAAGTAGTTTAGAGGAGTCCCCGCGCACAGCTACGTACTCACGAAGTTTGAAAGCTGCACGTGCCCCCAACACAACTTTGCCGAGTTGAATTTGAGTACTTCACCGCCGTACATGCTCCTCTCGGCTGAAGTTGGAGGTATCGAAACGAGAGGCTCTGCATGACATGGGATACCGATTCCGGGCACTTGAGTGAGTATTTCTAAGGGAGCGAGGTTCAGAGGCAGCCATGGAATGCATCACCGTCCCAGCACCCTCAACGTTGTCTTCAAAGCTCTACTCGTTTTTCAGTTGCCTGGGATTTGCCCTGGTTTCTTGACATCAGCCTACCCTGGTCTCTCCCTACTGAAAGCGTTGGGTTGATGTGTTCTTCTGCAGGACAAGAGCAGAAAAGAAGCAAAGCTTGCCAATATCTAACTTTTGGTGGACGCTCCTGTTTATCTATGTGAACCAACGTAAGTTTTTTTAGTTCCCTGCATGTCGGATCAACAGACATTGCATGCCTTTCTTCGTGCTAGAACTCGCCAAGGATCATTCGGTCGAGAGGATCCTGTCGACAGCGTTCTCGATAATCCAAGACAAGCGACTTTCAGTGTCTCAGACCAACAGGAAATGAAATCCGAAATACTCCTGAGAAACCAAACAATCCCTGCCGTGAAATCCAGGTCACCACAAATTGGAGCGAAACAGGCTCAAAGCCATGGGACAAGGAGAAACCTGTGCTCCGGGAAAGCGCTGACCCATCCTAGATGTTCTTGTTTTCGCGAGGCTGCAGAAGGTCGTCTACATCGACACCCTTAGCGTGCTGGGCAGCAACGACTGGGTCCGGCCGGGAGGGCGGGGGAAAGGAAAGCAAAAAAGCTCAGGCAAGCGTTGCCCCAGAGAGTAGCACACAATACACCTCTGGGTGGCCGTCGCCCTGAGTGGACTCTGTGGGTGTGTCCACGTTAACCGAGCCGTCAGGTAGTGGCGTTTAGATTGGATACGACGGCAACACCCATAAGCCCCGACGATTTTCAAGACCCACACTGCTTGCTGCACAGCTCACCCGAACCCTGGATGCCATCTGTTTGGCCCAAAACCGTGGTATCACTATTTAGTCAAAACAGTGCGAAGGATGGCAAGCACGGCCCACAGCAAGACCACCGTGCCAAGAGATTGACCAAGGTTCCTGGGACCAGAACACCCTTGCCACTGCATGGAATCGACAGGAGTCCCACTACTAGCCCCCGCTACTTGCCGGCCCGATACGCTCAATTTCTCTCTCCACAGAATCGTCCCACTGTTCGATCAACAAGTCCACCGATCAGTGGCCAGTTCTGGAGAGAAAAACGGTCGGCGGTTTCCCCGAATGGATGCCGCCACCAAGCATCCTTCACGGCCAAACGCCCTTTCAAAAGTAACGACCAATGAGACATTGCAGGCACCGTTGCACAACCAGGTTGTCTACGACGTTTCTCCAACTTATGTTTCCATTTCAAAATCGCCTTCAACCTCGACGATCTCCAACTTCCATTTCTTCACCGCATAGCGTTACAGCGTAAAAAATCAAGAACAAAGGGTACGCACGTTCTCCTGCAGTGACGAATGCCTGCAAAACAAAAGGGCCAGAGCATCTGCGTCTCGTGAAAGTTTTTGAGTGAGGGGCAGGCAGAATGACTCCATAGGGAATCTTCTCCGCCCCGATATATTCTGCGTAAAACGTACGCCCCTTTCATCTCCCATATGCATTCTTCTCCTTCAGTCCGTCCATTTTTTCGTCACCTAGGCGCGTAAACTACAATGAGCATTCCCTTCTGCCCAAACAGCCTGTTCCCAACAAGGTACAAACTTCATGCTGGTCTCATCTGTTTCATTGGTCTTCCCGAAACCATGACAACACATACAATGCAGCTACTGCTTTGAGTCCAGAGAGATGAACAAAAAAAACGTGCTACTCCAGGTGCTATGTCCGAACCCCTTCCCCCTCCACGGTGTCCTCTCTCGCCTCATCATTGTCCATAAGATAGCCCAAGGCCGCTTCCAATCGTGCTGGATGCCCGTGCCACTCAACCACCCCAAACCCAGCTCCTGCACCGGTGTCCCCGCTCACGCCCCTTACGATGTAGCAATGGGGAATAGCCTTCGCGCGGTTCTCTCTCTGGTGTACGTAGTGCAAACGAAGTTCGCAAGGGTTTCAAGTCAAAGCTTTGAGGAATCGCACAGGCGAGCACGCGTGCGAGAGGCCACAACTACCACAACGACAACATATATAGCGCCAAGTCGTCCGCGGGGAGTTTGACCGATCGTGACGGAAGCCAATAAAAAAAAGCGATACAATGTTCCCCCGGAGTGTGTTTGGCCCAACCAGTGTCGGGCGCTTTCAAAGCGGTAATTTCGCCGTCGCTGACTTGCGAGATCAGGCCCGAACAAACGAATTATACAATGCGGCCCAACAAAAGACAAGAACAGCAACAAAAAAAAGAACGCACAAAAAAATGCGCAAACCTGATAGCCCGCTGTAAGCACGCCTTGCTCGTCCGCGAGGAGCGTGACAGGTCGCAGTGAGCGCTGGTACGTTTCAATAAAGTATCGGAGCTCCTCCTCCCCTTCCTGAGTTACTCCCGCAAAGGATATCCCTGACAAGAAAAAAAGGATGGGGTTGCGGTCACGGTACATGCTGTCGTAGATCCTGCAACACCCTTTGCCATGGTTAGGACGAACAAGAAAACACCGCAGAGCGTAGGAAAAACAAAATCGTCCGAGTGCCAAGATATCAATTTCTATTATCAAGGGAAGTGTTAGCGGTAGCGTGCCTGTTGTTCCTCGGCCCTGCTCAGCCGACCATTCCTTTAGTGAACCCAGTGCAAGGGTGGGTTTCGAAAAAATCCCAGAAACGCATGAACACTGCTGCTTCCCTTAGATGCGAGAGAGTCTCGAACGAACTCAGCAAAGATTAATGCGAGGTAGTACCAGCTTCCCACCATTAAATCGCTTCGCCACACCGTACACCCTTGCCTAACCCAACCCGTTGGGTTGCGAACTTGCAGGGGGNGGGGGGGGGGGGGGGGGGGGGGGGGGGGGGGGGGGGGGGGGGGCGTTCAGTGTGCGAGAATGCGTTGTACGACGCAGTTTGTGGTACCCGCTTCAGGCGGGCGGTATGGCTGTGCCAAAACAACATTCGCCTTCACTCGGTCCCATTCACTTTCCTGCCTCCCACTCACCTTCGTCGATATACCTCGCCGCCACGGCAAGGAAGGCCGGCAAGACCTGCTCGCAGCTGTCGCACCAGGTAGCGAAGAAGAAAACGACCGCCAGCGACCCTGCCTTCGGCGCCGCCAGCGGTGGCCCCTTCACTGTCACCAGCCCTGGAACGCCCACGGGGGACGGCACCTGGAATTTCCCGTCCTCCCCCTCCGCGGCTTTGCCGGCGCTGCCGGCAGCCCCGCCGCCGTGGCCTCCGAGAATTTTCGCGGAAGATTCTTCGTCGCTTTCGAAGAACCTTGCGTTTCGAGCGTAAACGTATATCTGGCGCACGCGAAGTTCGCGAACGGGGACGAAGAGCGGGCGATCTTGTTTCGGGCCAGAAAGGGCCCACAAAGGATAGAAGATAGCGTACGATTGCGGGCAAGAAATGCGTGGTACAAACACGTCGGGGTCCACCAGCAAAATCATTCGAGCGCTTGCTTGGACGAGTGGCACTACACGTGTAGATACATTCGAGGCAGCAGCTCGTTCTTGAAAGCCATCGCATCCACTTGGGCGTTGTAGTTTGCCGCAGAATGCCTGTCTGAGCAAGCTGAAGATACAGGAGAAGCTTGCCTTGGGACACGCAACGGGAACGCCTGGTACTTCCACCCTGGTGATGGATACGCGCGCTTCGTACCACATGTCATACCGGATGCCTACGTTCCACGTTGACCCCTGAACAGCTTATTTGTTCATAATTCCAAGTGGTTTCAAACCGCACCGTTACTGCAGCTCTCCCCGCCACCGTGATATTTTCCGGTACAAGCATACCGCTGCACACTATTTACAGAACAAGACCTACATGCAGAACACTGGTCTAAAGTCTACACTGCTGTCACCCCGAGGTCCAAAATAGTGCCAGCATTGAACACACATCGCGTTACTTCGGCTTACTATGCAGTAGCATTTTGGCTTTCTCGTGGGGAAATCGATCAAAATGCGTTGCCGAAAAGAATGGCACAACAACCCTGTCGCAGGCTCGAGCTTAGGTTCTGCTTCAAAGAACACATGGCACCAAGGAGAGGAGAGCGCAGTGTCGGCGAGAACCCCGGTTCCAAATTTTTCTGAGATTCGCGAGCATTCCAATGCGCAAGTACACGTAATGCTTAGATCCACACGACACACGTTCTGATTAAAATGCAGCGTGACCATGCTCTTCTGCCGATACTGTTTGAATGAGACTCGCGCTACCCGCGTGTACCCTCGCGCGAAAGACAGGTAGAGAACGCACGGGCGCGTCTGCTGTCTTGTACAGGTTCCCGAAACAGCGGAGTATTGAGGTCTCCGCTTGCATCCGTTATTACAAAGCGAAGTGGAAATGCAACATGAAGGAGAGATTGTGAAGGCTGGCTTGCGACAGCAGCGACAGCAACATGCGCCTTGCGTCTGTTGCTTCGTGTTCAGCTGTTGGTGTAAGACTCCATGTGTTGTGTTCGACTATGCAGTGACTGGAGCGCCTGTTGAAACATTTCAGAGCTCACCATGGCCATCATGGGATAGGCGATCTCGTCCTTTCCCCACTCGGAAATCTCGGTGTTGAAGTAGAAAGTCGTGCAGAACCCCACACCACCCACGAGTAAGGACAGGGCCACCGCATATGGGTCGAAGATTCGAAACATGGTCGCACCTTGCTTGTTTGCGGGGAGTCTGGCACGTTGCCGTGTGGCAAGGTTTGCCAAGTTGTGCCAAGAAAGAGGGCACGTGGATTCAATTAATTACGTCATGCACACCCCAAAACTGGATAAAGCACCAAATCAGGGGGGTGGGGGTGGGGGGGGCTGTTATATACCGTATAGGGCTTTTGGTATAGGATTTAGTTCACAATATTATATCCTTTACATTTTCTATTGTATAGCATTTAGAATAAACATGGCTATTCGAAACCTTACACCTCTGTACGACTTCTTGAAGTAGGTAGACCTGCTGCTTGTCGAGGAAAACTGTTACAACGTAGTCAGACACAGTTTACCAAAGGTGCGACTGCGGCAACTAGCCTTCCGTGGACATGATACAGAAAGAAGAGATGGTTCTTAGCAGAGAACATGAGCACAGAGTTGTAGCGGAGATAATTTGGCAGGCGAGACTNTGAGACACAAGCGCGCCTTCGCCCCTTGTGCTCACTCTCATCTAGCACCCATCAAAGCCTGACCAGGGAGTCAGTTGATAAGAACATCTATCTACATTTCTCTTTCCAAAGCTCGCTCGGGCCTACCGATCTCACAGCAGTGTAGACTAACCTCTGTGATAGAGCGGTGACAGCAGTGCAACCTCTGTGTGTGGTGGACCACAAAGTCTACGAGTTACAGCAGCACCGCCACCTCCGCTGCTGCAGAACGTCACATTTTTGTGAGGTTATGAGCCTCGCTTTACGCGAACACTAGGAGCTGCGGGCATCACGACGGATGTCAAGAAATCCTACTGCTGTGGACTACAACATCCGTCTGTGGACTTTGAGCGGAAATCTGGATTCGGAGATTTGGGAGATCATCAATGGTCCGCGGAAAAGAAAGTGAGCGCGCTACTTGGTCATCTACACCAAGGGGCTGAGAGTTCACTATACACACACGTTACCACTGCTGCAACAGTAGTGGGTACCTCTGTGGTGAACAAACAGCAAAGTGTTGCGCGGGGAGCCTCGATTGAGACATCGAGCAAATACTTCTGCGGCAGAGACAGGAGGGAAGACTACTGTATCAACAGCGAAAGTCGACCGGGAACCGTAGTCCTATCCACCGATTCTCTATCTAAGTGAGGAAAGGGTATCAGGAGCGGAATCGCGAATTGGCCTACAACCGGAGTTCTATTCACCAATTCTCTATCTAGGTGAGAAAAGGGTTTCAGAAGCGGGGTCACGAATCGGCAACCGGAGTCCTCTATATCAATAGAAGGAGCGGGGCTGGAAAAATCTCAGCGACAGATAGCTGAGTAATACACCAACAAAAATATTCAAGACGAGATCATCAGGATAAAACCAGAAATGGAAGCAAAATCGGAAACTGGAGGCGGAGGCAGCATCTGGAGTGATGGATCCACAAACCTGGCCAACGTCATCAGAGGACTCCCCAAGTTCGATGGAACGAAACCAGAGGACTTCAACGACTGGATGAAGAAATTGGGTGTGTTCTTCGGCGTTACTCGGAGGGACATCATGCCACTTTTCAAGGGAATGCCCAGACCTGATCCCTCGGGCACCACCTTCGCCGCATACAAGAGGGCAAACGAAGACCTCTACGCAATCCTATTCTTCCTCGTCGAACTGCCGGCTGCACTAACCTTACACAAGCACGAAGACGACACCGCCCTTAGCGGTGACGCGCAGGCAGCATTCGCGGAACTGAAGGCCAACTACAATCGAGTGACAGATGAAGTGATCAGGGCTAAACTGGACGACCTGGAAAGGACGGTCATGGAGCCAGGAGAGAACCCGGACGATTTTTTCAACAAGAAACACCGCCTCCGCTCTCAACTAGAGAAAATGGGGGAAACCATCTCCGATCGCCGCTTCAAGGACATCTGTGTGCAAGTTTTCTCCGAGGACTACAAGGACATCAACATTATGGTTTTCCGCGGCCTATCATTCGACGTACACAAGATGCAAGCCACCATGCGCAACATCTTCCTTGACGAGCAAATGCGCAAGAGAACCAAGGGCCAAATCGCTGGCCGCGGATTCGCCATGGCTACCAAGACATCTGGCCCCATCTGCTTCGAGTGCAACGAACCGGGACATGTCAGGAGGAACTGTCCCAATCGCCAGCGGGAGGGCCATAGGGCAAAGAAGACGAAGCCTGCGGGAGCAACCAAGTGGTGCTCCGTCCATAACACCACTACACACTCCGACGAAGAGTGTTACAGCCAAGGAGCCAAGCGACCAGAACGCGCGGGCAAGGCTTTTTCGGCATGCACACACTGCATGCACTGCTCAACCCAGTCAGGGGTCACTCACGCCAAGCCTACCACAAATGAAACTCCCAAAGAAACAGAGAAGACCGAGAAAGCAGACATCGACTTCTCCTACGACGAAGGNGGGCAAAGAAAACGAAGCCTGCGGGAGCAACCAAGTGGTGCTCCGTCCATAACACCACTACACACTCCGACGAAGAGTGTTACAACCAAGGAGCCAAGCGACCAGAACGCACGGGCAAGGCCTTTTCTGCATGCACACACTGCGTGCACTGCTCAACCCAGTCAAGAGACATACACGCCAAGCCTACCACAACAGAAATTCCCAAAGAAACAGAGAAGACCGAGAAGGCAGAGATCGACTTCTCTTACGACGAAGATGCATTCAAGGGTGGATTCATGTACCATGCTACATGCAGCAAGGGAAGCGGACGCACTTTCACGACAACTGCAACTGGGACTTCCGCGCTGGTGGATTCTGGAGCTTCTGAAACCATGTTCGACAACCGCCTCATCCCGAATGGACGTCTCGAAGAAGAACGCCCGACGCCCAAGATCATCGACGTTGCAGGCGAAAGCCAATAACAAGGCACTACCACTGGGATCCTACACTTCACCATCAAAGACGACAAAGAACAGCAACTACCCGTCAAGCTACAAGGTCTCATCGTGCCAGGACTAGGCCGGAACATCTTCGCACCAACGGCCCTTCTCAAGAAGGGCCTCCGATGTGTCCTGGAAGACAAGACCCCACACCTCACCATCGGCGGAGAAGTCGTCGTTCCTCTGAAACAAGAGACTCAAGACCAAGGCATGTGCACCCTCGCCATCACATTCAAGGGCAATCCAGCGTCGACAAGCAAGACACCCCCGAACAACCAAGGAACAGGGCGCCAGCCGAAGTTCGGG